GAATGGGCCGAACTTCGGCCCCTGAGAAGGCACTGATAAATCCTTATTATCTATAGGTGTATCCGTGTCTGCTAGGTCGATCAGGGTTGGGCATACACTCTTCAATATTACGGTATGAATTTAGCCAATTGAGACATTGCAATTGGAGAAAGGGATCATTTATCCAAGATTTTATTCACTTTTCCATGCAGAAAAAGTTCTTTAAGTGTGTGTCATTGCTTTCAGTGAGGAATTACCTTGTTACATGACAGAGCCGCCATTTTTGGTTAGCACATGTGTTTATTTACGGTCACCTAAATGTTTGTAAAGGTCTCATATATTTGTAAGCGCTTATTTGACTAAGATGCATTCTAAAATTTAAAACCCACCAGTTCAGCTGAGAAAAATCCGGAAAAATATGTCGGAAAAAGACATTATTTTTATTTTCATGATTTGTGAAAATTAGGGTCGGCGGAATCGTAAACCAAGTGAAAAAAAAACTTTGGCCTTAGACAATTGCTTTTACGTCATACTCATATTTCACCAAAATATCTTTTACGTCATATTTCACCAAAATATATCATTTTGCCCTGCAAAAGAGTAGTACCACAGTTATCATGAAATGGTCTATTCTATATGTATGACGAGCATCATATTATGCAGTCATTTCATGAAACGACATTCTGTAGCTTTGTAGCATAGACTATTTGTCCTGCAATAGTCGTCATATTGACATTGATGCTGTTATGCACAGTTTGTGCATTTTTATTACTCATTAAACTTTGACATTTACTCAAAATTAATGTTTCGTGATTTTTTTTTTTCACTGTCTCTAATTGAACATATGACAGTCAATATAATTTAGCAGACAGGCAACAAACAATTGCATCAATTACATTTGTATCAATCAAATATCACCTTGCAGTACAAGTGTCACCTGGATAAATATCCCGTTCCTCAGGTCCTGTGCCTAATGCCTGGGGCCAATTAAATGTCCAAGTAAAGGTGTTAATTATGTAACTCTTGCATTCACATAGCCATCTTGAGGTATCAAGAGTAAATTACAATAGATTATGCACAGCAGGACTGTATTTTAACATCGAAGGATCAAGGGTTCAGAGAGATTGAGAGTATGAGAGATCAAGAGTAAACTTGCTTAGGAAAAAATTGGGACCAGAGACTCACTTTGAGTGATCAATAACGATGAGATATCGAAGTTCAAATCATCAAAAGTTACCTGTAGTTCACTTTATCAAAGTCATAACAATTGTGCTTTTCATATGTATTTTTTTCTCTCCAAAATACAGTTGAACTTCGGTATCTCGAACACGGATATCTTGAATACCATGGATATGTTGAAGTGATTGAGAAGTCCTTATCACATATTTCTTAAGTATTTTACCCTCGATATCTTGAACCCTCAGATATCTCTCAGTTTTTTCTCAGTCCCATTGAGTTCCAGGTAATGAGGTTTGACTGTATGTAATGGTAATTTTTGGGCCTATACTGCCTTGGAAGGACTCATAAAGCCCATTTGTCTGTACAATTCTGAATTTCAAAAACTGCCTATATATTTCCCCTGAGTTATTGAAAGGGGGAAGGGGGAGGGGAAGTGTGGGAAAGGGATTAATTTTAACTTGCAATATGCAGGTTTAAGAGACATAACATACATATTAGAATATTTGGGAGATTGAAAAGGTTGATAAAAACTAGCAAACCTGTGATTTTCAATTTGGGTTCTCCATTTACTACCACATAATCATCATTGGTTGACGAAGATTCAACAGAACTGCGACTGACAGCATCCTCCATTATTTCTATTTACGTCCACATTATTATGATTTATCTACAAAAAATATCAACTTTATTTATTTTACAACTATACATGAATAAATACATAAATACATTATAATCACATACCAGCCGTATCACAAAATGGCTATGTAACCAATTTACCCCATTGATAACAAAGAAGATGGGCGAACAAGGCGTGCAAAATGCCTATGGCTTCAAATGTTTAAAAATCAAATTTTATTTGTGACTTAAGAGCAAAGTTCAAATTATTAAAAGGTATGAATTTATGACAAAAAAATCTTTTCTTCAGAAAAATTTTCTCAAAAATTATACTATGGTAAAAATCAAAATCAAGGATTTCCTGGGATTTTTTAAAAATGTTTCCTCACTTTTATTTCAAGAAAAAACTTTTGTTATCAATATATATCTTCCATATATATCTTCCATATATATCTTCCAAGTGTTGTCATTTACCATTTTAACATACAATAAAAAAATCTGGTTAAGTATGAAAAGCTGGTTTCCTTACAGATAAGTACAACTACACTTGAATTTCTAAAAATATAAGATTATAATGATATTTTTATTTCTAAACTGAAGAAACTAAACTGCTTGTAATGTATAAATAAAATATATTGGTTATCAGTATTGTAGGGAGAAAAAAAATCATCTTTCACTTCATACAGAATCACATGGATTTAAAAAATTAATTTCATATTTAAGGTGACCTTGTTGATTAAAACTGTCAACACTTGATTTTTTTTTTTACCCAGGTCAAATAAATTTTAATGATGTAAAAAAATGCTAAAATTGATAATCAAACTGCATACTATATTTAGAATTTTAATCTGTACTTATAAAATTAAGCTTCTATATTGTAAATAAAATTTAATTTCTATTTTATACCAAATGGTTACCAATTTGATTATTGGCCAATTATCAGTTGATTAGAGTCAACCGATGCTGCAGATTAATCGATTCTGATTTTCAACTGATTTGACAACACTACTTGTTTCTGGATCAAACAATTCTTCATCCTGCCTCTTTACAGCCATGCTTAAGTTAACATGCAGTCTTTGCATCACTATTGTTTGTTTCCTTTAATTTACTGGTTAATCAGTTATTTCTTTTTTATCCTACAAATCCACATCAGAGACTTGTCTCTGTCTGCATCTAATAACACAAATTATTTCACCTTTTTTCTGTTCACAAAAAAAATGTCACACTGACAGTATATTGATTTTCTGGTGACCAGGAATAAGTATTACAAAAGAACAATAACTTGTATTGACTGTACTGATTTTCTAGTGACAGAGTATAAGGACTATCATCCCCTAACTTGACATACAACGAACCACCTATCAGAACATTAGTCAAAACATTATAAGAGTGGGGTGAATAAGGGGTATGTACTTTCTCTTTTATCATAAAACCGGCCAAAAAGGCATATTAATAAAATTAATACAAATACTGATAAAGAAAACTTGTTAACTCTACAATGAAATAAATTAATTGTAGTCTTTCCAAGTAGTACAAAACTGGCCTATGATTCTTTTATATAATATCATTTCTTCACAAACTGGGAACGACTTTACTTTACCGGTCCCCAGAAAAACGCGCTAAAATATAGTGTCACCATAGGTGACTTCAATACATATGACATTGCATGAGCGATCGAAAAAAATTAAAAGTAATTGAGGTTTTAAGCCTTTTTGAGCTCAAAATTGAATTCTACGGCTAAAAGTTTAGTTTAAAACTTCGTTTTTAAACGAAGTTTTTAACCTCGTTCTCTGGAAAAAAGCAATAAATATTGTTTATTCAGTGAAAAAGGAGACAGAAAATAAATGTCAATGAAGCGTGTGCGGTGCATGCCTAGTGCCATTTCTTTCGTACTTAGACATTTTTTCATGTAAACAAACCAACGAGATTTTGTTGAAGCTGAATTAAGATCTTGCAAAAAAATACAGAAGCAACTGAATTTCTTAATTAATCTAAATGAACAAGACACTAACCCTAATCTCTGGGATGGTATGCGAGGACTAACGCAAATCTCCTGAGCAGATGCTAGACTAACCCATGTGCGAGGACTAACCCTAATCTCTCGGTTGGATGCTAGACTAACCATAATCAGTCTAAGACTTGTGCAAGGACTAACCCTAATCTTTCAGGTGGGTGCAAGACTAACCCTAACCAGTCGAAAAATGTGCAAGACTGACCCTTATCAGTTGAGTGACGAAAATCTTACGTCATAGTGCAATGAGCGCACAAATCTTGTGGATCTGGGGACCGGTAAAGTAAAGTATACCACAAACTGTCTTGTCATGTGTCTGATTTTGTCAAAATTGACAGAAAACTTAACTATAGCACCAGGTAAAGTGCGTATTTGCAGAAATATACATTGAATTTTACAAAATATGCATGAATGAATGGCATTTTCAGTAATTGAGAAGCGTGATTGTATAATTAACAAAACTGGATAAACTGATCAAATCTGTTTTGGTCAGTCTGATATATTTATAAGTTAAGATACCTTTTAATTCGCAGTTTATGCATATTTTCCTGCAAAATTGATACTACTACATTTTAATGGTGCTGCAAGGAAATGTCAATAAAACAAGCTGCATAACAAAAACTACATCACGTTTCCCTCCCCTACATCCCCCAAGCTGTCAATACTGTATATATGCTGTGCTAACTGAACATCCTTTTAGATATTGTCACTATCTGCTCAAGCCCGGATTGACATACTCATCGACCATCCTTTCAAAGATATGAGCAAAAAAAAATGTAATTTAAGCCCGTAGAAAACCGGATTGATCTGTCGACAAGGAAAAAATGCACACACAGTTAAGTCTAATTTCAACTGTCTTTCCAAGTAAAGCATAGAAAATTGAATGTGGTTACCCGAAACGGAGTAAAAGAATCAACGGTGCATCTTTTCTCATTACTATCCAATGTTTTGGTGGCGCTGCAACTCCACTTCCGCATTATGTCACTCGGTACTCATCGGTCAATTCCGTTTATATATGAAAAAGAAATTGTCAGATTTCCGAAATTTGTCGACTTCTCCCGATCTATTTTTCGTAGCAGACGATAAAAATTTGTAACATCAAAGTTAAATAGCACAGATTTTTAAAAGTAGAAGTTTTTATCCCAGCAAAAGTGTAATAATTGTATCAAGTTTGATTCTTTTCAGTATTCTTTTTTATAATAGATCATTTTGCTATGTATCCAAGGATGCACGAGGATGATGATGTCAGAGTATATAAAGAGAGAGTATCCAGTGGCGTTATCATTTTGAATTTGTGTGAGACACGTTGCGCATCTCAGCACAAAGTCTAATCATCGTTGTGAGGATTTAGAAAATACAGTCAGAATGGTATGTTATTTTATTTTTCACACAGTTTTTCAATGGAAGGGATTCATCTTAAACTCCTGTATAATTTTATGATAAACTTTTTTTTTAGGACGTAACTGTATCTTATTATCTATAGCTAATAATGGTACATGGGGCTATTTATATCAACAAGTGGTATGTTGGTTAATCACTGGAGATAAGAACGTTACTTATTTACGCATTTACTCTATCTGATTAATAGTGTCAGCGCACAGCGTCCGAGTCACAGCTGTGATAAAAGTTTGCAAATAATCCAGAATTTTTTTTCCTTGGCATTCAAACTATAGATCTATTGTGAAAAAAATGTAAATAATAAAGCATCTAATTCTTGAGATAAAATTTCATAGCAATAGAGATTCTTCAAAATTCTGTTAAAATTTATATCATTTTAATAGGATGCTTTTATAGCAAATCGTGTATTATATTTTTTTTAAAGCGTGAATGTATATCCATCCATGTTGGACAAGCTGGTGTCCAGATAGGAAATGCATGTTGGGAATTGTACTGCTTGGAGCATGGCATTCAGCCAGATGGGCAGATGCCAAGCGACAAAACCATTGGGGGTGGAGATGACTCCTTTAACACTTTCTTCAGTGAGACTGGAGCTGGCAAACATGTACCAAGAGCAGTCTTTGTGGATTTGGAGCCTACTGTTGTTGGTCAGTTTTATATTCTCTATTAATTTGAGATGTTGATATATGTATAACAAAAATAAGGTAAAACTGTGGACACTTTCCAACAGTTGGAGCACCCCCACCCCCTTTATCAACTTTTTCCTTTGGGGGGGGGGGGTTCGATGCAAGTAATTGATATATTTTTAAATAGTTGCACTTAAAATGAAGAACTTGTTCTAAAATTGTGGACTTGAATGAAAGAAAAGATTAATAGGGCTTTCAAAAGATTAGAAACAGGTGGGTAAAATTACTGGGTAGGTACTGGCAGATTTTGAAAGGCCTGAGAATAATGTGCATGCAAGGTCAGCACAAAAAAGATGCACAGATATCTCGCAGAGATAAAAAGGTTACATTATTGATAACATGAATAGCCAGAATAGGAAATCCGAATATAATGTTAATCCAATCCAATGAAAGAAAATTAAAAAAAAAAAATGGAAAGGGCTTCACTGTGATAATTGGGACATATATTCACAGTTAATATATACATCCCTTGTGATATTTTAGACAAGTAAGAAAAGGCATACTTGTGATAATGAAAGTAGAAAATTTTGACAGATGAGGTCCGCACTGGTACATACCGCCAACTTTTCCACCCTGAGCAGTTGATTACTGGGAAGGAGGATGCTGCCAACAATTATGCCAGAGGACATTACACCATAGGCAAAGAAATTGTGGACTTGGTATTGGATCGTATCAGAAAATTGGTATGTTGTTGCATTGGAAACATTTTAAAACATATCTTGCAGCATTGTGTCATTGTCTGACATAATTTTTAAATTTTAATGTTTTCTAGGCAGACCAGTGTACTGGCTTGCAAGGTTTCCTCATCTTCCACAGCTTTGGAGGAGGTACTGGCTCTGGATTTGCTTCCCTGCTTATGGAGAGACTCTCTGTAGATTATGGAAAGAAATCCAAGCTGGAATTTGCCATATACCCAGCTCCTCAGGTATTTACTTTCAGTTTTAAACCATTTATGATGAATGATACAAAAACATCTCTAAAGCAATAATTCGCTTCCAAAATGTTACAGCATTTTGCATCTCGAGCTAATTGACTATTTGGATGCATATTTTAATAATGCAACATGTTTTGATAGGTATCTACAGCTGTAGTTGAGCCCTACAATTCCATCCTCACCACCCATACTACTCTGGAACATTCTGATTGTGCCTTCATGGTTGACAACGAGGCAATCTACGATATCTGTCGCAGAAACCTGGACATTGAGAGGCCAACCTACACCAACCTGAATCGTTTGATTGGTCAAATTGTCAGCTCAATTACAGCCTCGCTCCGATTTGATGGAGCACTGAATGTGGACTTGACAGAATTCCAGACCAACTTGGTGCCTTACCCTCGCATCCACTTTCCACTTGTTACCTATGCTCCAGTTATTTCAGCTGAGAAGGCCTATCATGAGCAGTTATCAGTGGCAGAAATCACCAATGCCTGCTTTGAGCCAGCAAACCAGATGGTAAAATGTGATCCCAGACATGGAAAATACATGGCTTGTTGCATGTTGTACAGAGGTGATGTTGTTCCAAAGGATGTCAATGCTGCCATTGCCACCATCAAAACCAAGAGAACCATCCAGTTTGTGGACTGGTGCCCCACTGGTTTTAAAGTTGGTATCAACTACCAGCCACCCACTGTTGTCCCTGGAGGAGATCTGGCCAAGGTTCAGAGAGCTGTCTGCATGTTGAGCAACACCACAGCCATTGCCGAGGCCTGGGCTCGTCTTGATCACAAATTTGACCTGATGTATGCCAAGCGTGCTTTTGTCCACTGGTATGTAGGAGAGGGTATGGAAGAGGGTGAATTTTCTGAGGCCCGTGAAGATCTTGCTGCTCTGGAAAAGGATTATGAAGAAGTTGGTGTGGACTCTGTTGAGGGAGAGGCCGAGGAGGAGGGTGGAGATGAATACTGAGAACTTTATTGACATTGGCAAAACACTGTTCTGTTAAATTTTCCTTATTAAAAAGTTTGGCTTGTTCATTTCTCTAAAATTTTTTGAAGTGTAAAGGAGTTGAAAAAAAAATCTGGATCATTCTGACTTGAAAGAATTTCAAAATTTTAAGTTTATTAAAAAAAAGATTTTAAATACAAGAACTTTGTTGTGTTTGTTCTTTAAAATGGCAGGAAGAAGGCGCCAGATAAACAGCTAGTGATTAAACTGGTCATTATAATGTTGAACTTTAGAATTGATTAGATTTATGCTCCGTTTTAATTTGATAGTAATGCCAAATTTGGCAGAACTGGCTTTGATTATAAAGTCATTGAAGGATTTGTGGTATAACTGACTTTGAAATGAACTTGCATTATACAGTCGTTGACCGATTTGTTGTATAGCTATAAGCCTTTAAAAATATGATAGGCTTAGTATTGGGGTACCAACTCTCAGATAAGAGAGGTAACTTGCCAAGTAATTGATTCTAAAATGTCCAGTAATTTGTATTGCCAGAGCTTGGTGAGGGAGACCTTTTCATGGTCGGTTCAATCGAAACCAAAGTAACTTCTATTTTCTTTTGCCAATATTTTGATAGTTATTGGTAATATTTGACCTAAAATACTTGCATCCATTTTTTTTTTTTAGCTCTGACACCTGAGCTGAAAGCTCAAGTGAGCTTTTCTGATCACCTGTCTGTCTGTAAACTTTTCATAATTTGAACTTCTTTAGAATCATGGAGCCAAATTTAACCAAATTTGGTACAAAGCATCCTTGGGTAAAGGGATTTTAATTGTGAAAGTGAGAGGACAAACCCCCCTTCCAAGGGGAGATGTCATGAAAAGACATGGGGTGAGGTCAAGAACCTCTGGGTCAGAAAAACTGAAACTTAAGTAGAATATTCCAGAGGTAGTGTAGATTCTAAATTGTTCAAATCATGCCCCCCCCCCCCCCTTCAGTGGTAGGGTGGGGCCACAATAGGAAATCAAACTGTTTTACATTGAAATATATAGGAAAAATCTCCAGAACCACTGGGTCAGAAGAGATGAATCTTGTGCCCTGTTCACACAGAGTGTTTAATTCGAATAAAACGTAAGTTACTGTCAACCAGTATGGTTGCAATACATTTAAGAAATGAATTTAATTTTTGAAGATTCATGAGGACATGAACTACGACGCGTCACGCCGGCATATTTCATGAAGCGCGTTAGCGCTTCATGTTACATATGCCGGCGTGAAGCGTTGTAGTTCATGTACCTCATGAATTTTCAAAAATTAAATTCATTTCTTATATTTACATTATTTTTCTGATGAGTTTCCACAAGTTACGCCATTCAACTGTCATTTTTGAAGCAAAACAGTTTGCACTATAGTTTTGACGTCAAGTACAGTATTATGACGTAACAATGGAGATATTCATGCTCATCTCATGGTAGTTCATGAGAAAATGAACAATCATCTAATTTGCAAAGAATCTTAAGGAAAAATACCTGGAAATGTAAATATTATCAGTTATACATAGTTAAATTTTAATTCTTTCAAATTTAGTGTCAAGTATGACTTTATTCAATGAATTGAGTTAATTAAATAAATGCATACTTAAACTCTGGATAAGTCTGATTCTCTAATGCCGTTCACACGGAGAGTTTATACCGTATAAATTGGGTAGCTATTTTAAAATTTCATTCCTTATAATTTAATTTTCATTCATTTAGTGTAAGAAAAAAGATGATTGCCCTTAAAAAATGACTTCAAATTGTACAAAATTTAAATGTAACGTCAGGCGGATCGATACGTTTTTGACGCAAGTTACTGTGACATTGGCAACCCAATTTATGTGATATAAAGTAAAATTTTTTATCCAATCAAATGGCAAGTTACAATCAGAATTAAATTATTTTCGAATTAAATGTAAGTTACTGTATATTAAATTTGAACCACCTTCACATGGGGAATTTAATGCGAATTAGTTTAATTTGAAATAATTAAATGCTCATTAAGTTACTTCGCATTAGCTCTGTGTGAACGCTTAGCGAAGTAAATTTGAATTAAATTTTGACGCATGTGTAATGGCAAAATTAAGTCACTTGCCACATGTTGGTGGTCAGATATAGATACTTTGCTATTTTTTAAAAATTTTTAATTATTTAATTCTGGTTATGACGCGGTATTTGATTGGATAAAAAAATTACTTATATTATATAAATTGGGTTCCCTACATCACAATGACTTGCGTCAAAAACGTATCGATCCGCCTGATGTTACATTTAAATTTTGTACAATTTGAAGTAATTTTTAAAGAGCAATCATCTTTATGGAATGCATGCACATAGGTTTATGTTTTTATTGCAGCTTTAAATGTTCATTGGGTAATATTACGGACAACAAATCTAACTGAATTACACGCATATCAAGACCGATCAAGTTGTATTCTGTTCAAAATTAAACAGAAAGCACTAATTTTATTGGTAATAAATAAAGACCAAATCACATTAGTACATGTATCCTATAACATTTATTGACATATATATCTTGCAGATTGTGCTATAACTTCTTTCCATACTTCTTAAATCTTTTGTCGTAAAATTATGAAGAAAACAATAAGCATTCAAATGTTGAAAAATTACATCAATATGTGTACTTAATACAACCCCAATTCTTGAATATGTCAAAAATGCAAATAATCATTTCACATGAACAGATCTCAGAAAAAAAAAATGGACGGGTTCTATATGATACACCAAAAAAATGCACCACTGAAAAAAGTTGTTAGGTACATTTACAACCTGCATATAAGGATGTATACATACAGACTAAAGCCTGAAGATGATATGTGAACATGTTTTGTATTTCTTTCTCACTTTCATTCTTCTAAACCACTTGTTCGACCAAAAGTCACTATGTCATATTCGATCTATATCATCTCTCACACATGACCAACTGTGGCACATTCATGAATTTTTACAAGTACACATTACAGTACATTGACATGAATATATATTGTCATAAGGAAAAGAAAAAATCAATTTTCTGGATTTCAAAGTATATAAAAATTCAAAACCTTGAATTTTTATGATGTCTTTGCACATTCAGTGTTAATACAATATCATATCTGACAGAATTGAAAAGATATTACAATTTCTACTGACAAATACTCTTTCACAGTCACACAGATTAATTTGGTAAAAAAAAAAAAGTGCATATACTTGTTATCAGAAACATAATCAATATGCACAGAAGATAACTGATAATTACACTTGCAAGAATAAAAAAAAATACCAAGTGGTAGTATGCTGACATATATTTAAATGCTTTGAGAGAAAAAAACTCATACAGAACTTTGACGTCAGTAGTGAAGAACTGTAAATATATACAGAATAAATAGACAGACAAGAAATATATGAATAAAGAGAGGTTGACGACACAAGTTTCCTATAGGTTCCATTCACCTTGTCAGATCCTCTAAGCTTTGGAAACTGATCGTCATCTGTCAACATCATTTGTGTCCACTGTTAAATAGTTAGGTCACTAATTACTTTATTTTTTCTTTCCTATAGCCTGACTCATCCACTCTATGCCTTCCTGAAATATCATTAAGAAATGGGTTATAAAAAGGTACAAGAATGTCAATATAAATGCTGTGCACATGGTTCTATTTGCAATCGCCTTAGCAGAGATAGAGTTATCTCTCTTTTTTAAAACATGTCAAATGGATGTCGTGTTCAAAGAGAGATAACTCTGTCTCTGTTAAATTCTCCCAATTTTGAATTCACCTCGCTAATGAGGTATAAAGGGTAAAAATTTCTCTTCATGCAATGTGAATAATTTTATTTTTAAAGAAGCATTAAATTAATAAACAAGATGTGTTTGTGAAACACTGATGCCCCCGTATGGCAGCTTATGGCGAAGGTTAAAGTTTCTTCAAATGCAAGTCAAAATCCAGGCCAAAAGATAAAAAATATTGATACCCAAAGAAAGGTCTTGTCTCCAGGAATACACCTGTGAAATTTGAAAGACCTAGATACAACTGTTCCAAAGTTATGGCGAAGGTTAAAGTTTTTTAAATAAAAGTCAAATGTCAAGGTCAAGGTCAAAGTGGTTGGTATCCAAAGGAAAATCTTGTCACGAAGATTACATATGTGAAGTATGAAAGCCCTAGCACCAACCATTCAAAAGTTATGGCCAAGGTTAAAGTTTTTCAAAAGTAGGTCAAACTCCTAGGTCAAAGTCAAAGGGTCAAAGTGGTTGGTATCCAAAGGAAGGTCTTGTCACAAGGATTACATATGTGAAGTATGAAAGCCCTAGCACCAACCATTCAAAAGTTATGGCCAAGGTTAAAGTTTTTCAAAAGTAGGTCAAACTCCTAGGTCAAGGTCAAAGGGTCAAAGTGGTTGGTATCCAAAGAAAGGTCTTGTCACAAGGATTACATATGTGAAGTATGAAAGCCCTAGCATCAATCATTCAAAAGTTATGGCCAAGGTTAAAATTTTTCAAAAGTAGGTCAAACTCCTAGGTCAAGGTCAAAAGGTCAAAGTGGTGGTTGGTGTCCAAAGGAAGGTCTTGTCGCAAGGATTACATATGTGAAGTATGAAAGCCCTAGCTCCAACCATTCAAAAGTTATGGCCAAGGTTAAACTTTTTCAAAAGTAGGTCAAACTCCAAGGTCAAGGTCAAAAGGTCAAAGTTGTTGGTATCTAAAGGAAGGCCTTGTCACAAGGAATACACATGTGAAGTTTGAAACCCCAAGCACCAACTGTTCAGAAGTTATGGCCAAGGTTAAAGTCTCATAAAATTTTGCAAAAGTGGGTCAAACTCCAAGGTCAAGGTCAAAAGGTCAAATATGATGGTACCCAAAGAAAGGTCTTGTCACAAGGAATACACATGTGAAATATGAAAGTCATAGCTCCAACCAATCAAAAGTTATGGGCAAGGTTAAAGTTGACAACAGACAGACAGACAAACAAACAAACGGACAAACAGACAGACAAACAGATAAATAGACAAACAGACAGACAGGACAAAAACAATATACCCCCGGGATCTTTCGATCCGGGGGCATAAAAATTACTGTACCCAAAGATCCTAAATGAGTAGAAATTTAAGTAATACTAGAAAACTAACAAAGTCATGCATAATTCATCAATAATCTTGACCTTTTGACACAAACTTTTGCGTAAGTGGCCTCAGAATCTATTGGGTCTTATTAAAATCATATACTGAAAAAAAACCTACAATATGTTCTCTTACCATTCTTCACATGTGTAGTAAAAAAGGTTTTGATAACCTAAATTTTTTTGTACTGCATCACATAAAGAAGTACAGAAGCCATATATATAGTCTTGACTCTGGCTCTGTCTTTTATTCAGTAGAAGTCATCTTCAAAGTAATATATATGTATTTATCTATGTAACTCAAAAGAACTGACTTTGACCATGTGATTCTAAAGTCTATAGGTGTCTTCTCAAAGAAATTCTCCACCTACATAGTAATATTAAGTCTATACTCTATATGATACAAAATACTCTTGTTACTGCATCACAAATTCACAATGTTCCTATCAATAATTTCGTCTTTGACCTTGTGAACTTTAACAAATTCAAAGTGACCCAAATATATGTGGACACATTTCTCCTACACTCTAAGTTTGAAGTCCGTAGATTACAAAATGTCCGTTCTTACATCACAATGGTCATAAGAATAACATCAACGTTGATCTTCGATCAATTGACCAGTGTTCCAGACTGACATAGACACCTAAAATTCGCCGTGGGTGATTAAATTTGCTTGTATCAACACCTGGCTGGATGTGTTAAAACTTCCACTAATTAAAAGTTCACATTGATAAATCTGTCTCAAATCAACTAATTGTACCAGTAGTAAAGCATAACAAGCAAGTGGCATGAACTTATCAGTCTATATAATTGGGATAGAAGTTACGCTGACTGCATCATACATTGCAACTTGCCAGCTGCTTGCAAAACAGACCATGTAATAACTAATATGGTTTTACATAAATAACAAAAATAATTTTTGAAAAAAGGCAACACTTTTCTTGGTTTAGTAGATCTTTAGATCTCATCAGCAGTCAGCCCTGCATCTCTAGCTAATTTTATGGTGAGATTCAAACCCTGCAATTGGCCTAAATCTATGATTTTTTTTCTGATAATGATTCTCTACTTATATACAACATCTGTAGGCTATAAAATGTCCAAGTCATTTCACCCCAGTGGCAAAATTAATGATCTTGAACTTTGACCCTGACCTTTGACAAAATGACATCCAAAATTTTATGTGTCTTTCTCTAATTATCTCACTCAATAAGTATAACGTCTATATATGTTAAGAAATATAATATAACATATTATGTTATCGTATTACATAAATTAATGTATAATGATAATTTAATGGAAACTATTTTGGCTTTGACCTCTCACCAAGTGACCAAAAAAATAGTAGATGTCTTTACCTAACCACGTCTACCTATGTAGTAAATATGAATTCTGTAGATTAAAAGATACTCAAGTTATAGCATCACATAAAAGCATAGATCGACAGATAAACTGATGGACAGACAGACACAGTGATTACTATAGGACACTCGCAAAAGATGTAGGGCCCTAATTAGATTTTATCTTAACATAATAAAAACAATAACTGATCAAACAACACTCTTTGACAGGTTGGGAATACATCCTTGCTATTCCATTTATTATTTCATTTACTACAACTATATCATTTTGGTGTAGAATGTGCTACATACCGGAACTCCCTCTCCAGTCTGTGCTGAGCATGCTTGGACATGCCACTTCCTGTCCCTTATTGTGTCTAGTGATAAACCCCGAGCTATTTCTGAAGCCTGTGCAGCCTGTAGCAAGTCCTGTTTATTGGCATAAACTAACAATGGGACTCCCTGTAGCTTTGGTTCATCTAATAATTCTGACAGTTCCTGCAAGACAATTGAATTTAGTGACAACAATCATACTACTGTTGAAATTTTAAAACAAAAGGTTATTCATCCTGAATACAAAAATAACAGATCTTTTTTTTTTTTTTTTTTTAAATTTTATGTTCTTAATTATGTTTATATAATGTAGCATTGAACATTTTCCTAATAATGCTATAAAACTGTTTATTATACTTTCATGTTAAATACTAAAATCTTATTGGTTTAGACGCATTCAACATTTATTTGTAATGTTACCCTCAGCATTATCAACGCACTTGACAATGGGTAACACAACGATAATGTCACATGGCTGTAAATTATGTGTGTACAGTTTGCCACAGAATTATAAAACGTCAGTTGTGTGTTTGTAAGAAGCCGAATAAACTTGATGTCAATCAAACATTGCTTCCGATGTAGCTTGATTGAAAACAACAAACAACAGATGAAAAATGCTTGCAAGTGCAAAAATAAATACCGTAGAGGATATTCAATGTTTTGTAGATGAATATGGAATTAATTTCAAGAGTGGGACAGTATTTTTTTTATATTTTCACGAGTGTGAAGCACGAGTGAAAATATAAAAAAAAAACCTGTCTCATAAGTGAAATAAATTCAATATTCATCTACAAAACATTGCATTTTCTGTTTATTACATTTTCTTAGATTTTTCCTTTGCCTCTGTCTTTTCGTAACACTGTCATAGGCTGTGACGTCATAGTTGAGTGGTTGAGACGTCATAGCTAAGCGATTGCGAGATCAAAAAACGTTGTAAACATGGATTTTTAACGACACATTTGGAAAAACTTTGGCAGTATAACTATTAGTCTCTGTCAGGATGGATCATTAACTCTATCTTATAACAGGCCAGGGACTTTTTTTAAAAACACTTTTCATGAAGTGAAGGAAAATCATAAGTTTTCCGCACTTCTGATATTCTCACACTGTGAAAATACCATTTTGATATCTTTTCACGCTGTGTCAGAATATCACTTTTATTCACTAAATAAATTGCAGTATTTCACTGTTGAAAATGTAATAATGAAACTTAGATGATAAAAGACTCTCTGAGTATCAAATAAACAATAAAAAGGTGGGTAAATTTTTTTCAAAGCTTTCTTATTGAGAAAACAGAAGCAGGGAGTTTGAAAGCTTTCAAAACGTGAACTTAACAACAATTTCCAATTTTTTTTTCTGACATCCTAAATCAATAAAACATTCAGTATAATAAAATAAATAGTGCTTGTTTTTGAGGGTAACAGTTGAAATTGACACCCCTTGGAAAACCATTGTCAACCTCCACTGACGCATAGGAATACTCTGCTTAATCAAATATCAATAATTGCCTAATTATGAAAAATTGATTTTTCAAAAAAAAATTATGAGCTAAAACTTACAAGACCAGTTTCCTCGAATCTCTTTTGGTCTGCACTATCTATCACATATATCTGAAAATACAGAAATAAATTTCAACTGTTCTGGAATTCCTTTTAAAGACAGGGAAATAAAAGTTTATACCAGGTATAGATAGAAAATTAAATGAGGCAAATAAATTTAAAAAAAAATCCTTCTCATGTAAAAATATTACTCACAAGAACATCTGTATTTTCAAAGTAATTTTTCCAGTATGGTCTGATTTTTCTTTGTCCTCCTATGTCCCAGACATTGAGTTTGTAACCTTTATTAACAACTGATTTGATATTGAAACCCTGAAAGAAAATAATTTAATTTATTTATAAAGTATTCACCATGTATATCCCAACATATGGGGTGTATTCTATGTTGTGCACGGGGTGTATATGCTTTCAAAGCAATATAAAGGGGGTCGAGGTATGTTTTTTGTCCGATTTCTCAATTTATGAATATATTTTGCCAGAAAGCATATACCTACGGAAGAAAGCATTATCTAATGAGTATATGGATACCTATGAATCCACTGCACACTTTCTAGTTTTATCAAACACCTCATCACAATTCTGAGGATCAAAGCAAGATTGACACTATACATTGTGTTTATGATGAAATATTAGAACAAAGCTTTGTTTTATCATAACTTTCATATTACTGTTAAATAATTGTTACTTAATAAATATATAAACATATGTATAAATTGTTTGTAAATAAAACAGTTTGTATTTAAAGATATTGACGAAAAATGAATGTTGTGCCCAGGGTGTATGCAACCTGTTTGACCCAGGATATATACCCCCTATTTTTCAAACAGCACAATTGTGTATGAATTGTGTATTATGATCTTTCCGTCTTCAATGATCAGAGTTAAAAATCAAGACAATTACATTGAAATATGAAATCAATACATTTAAGAAATCATCCCAACTCTGCCATGCAACAATACTATTCTCTGAAGTACATGTAAAAATTTCAATTATTAATTGTCACATTTATGTACCATGATTATGTTGGTCTGTTTGTATACTAAGTTCTAAAAAAAATCAGGTAAAACAAGAGGCCCATGGGCCAAATCGCTCACCTGAGTAACTTTGGCCATGCTGTTCATTACCAGACTCCCCCCTTGTAATACCTATTGTGGCCCCACCCTCCCCCCAGGGGCCATGATTTGAACAATTTAGAATCTACACTACCCCAGGATGCTTCCACATAAGTTTCAGTTTTTCTGGTCCAGTGGTTCTTGAGAAGATTTTTAAAGATTTTTCCTATATATTTCAATGTAAAACTTGGGATTCCCCCTATTGTGGCCCCGCCCTATCCCCTGGGTCATGATTTGAACAATTTAGAGTGTACACTACTTGAGGATGCTTCCACATAAGTTTCAGCTTTTCTGTCCCAGTGGTTCTTGAGAAGAAGATTTTTAAAGATTTTTCCTATATATTTCAATGTAAAACTTGTATTTCCTATTGTGGCCTCGCCCTACCCCCGGGGGTCATGATTTGAACAATTTAGAATCTACACTACCCCAGGATGCTTCCACATAAGTTTCAGCTTTTCTGGTCCAGTGGTTCTTGAGAAGAAGATTTTAAAAGATTTTTCCTATATATATTTCAATGTAAAACTTGGATTCCCTATTGTGGCCCCGCCCTACCCCCGGGGGTCATGATCTAAACAATTTAGAATCTACACTATCCCAGGATGCTTCCACATAAGTTTCAGCTTTTCTGGTCCAGTGGTTCTTGAGAAGATTTTTAAAGATTTTTCCTATATATTTCTATGTAAAACATTGATTCCACATTGTGGCCCCACCCTACCCCCGGGGGTCATGATTTGAACAATTTAGAATCTACACTACCCCAGGATGCTTCCACATAAGTTTCAGCTTTTCTGGTCCAGTGGTTCTTGAGAAGAAGATTTTTAAAGATTTTTCCTATATATTTCAATGTAAAACTTGGATTCCCTATTGTGGCCCCGCCCTACCCCCGGGGGTCATGATTTGAACAATTTAGAATCTACACTACCCCAGGATGCTTCTACATAAGTTTCAGCTTTTCTGGCCCAGTGGTTCTTGAGAAGAAGATTTTTAAAGATTTTTCCTATATATTTCAATGTAAAACTTGGATTCCCTATTGTGGCCCCGCCCTACCCCCGGGGGTCATGATTTGAACAATTTAGAATCTACACTACCCCAGGATGCTTCCACATAAGTTTCAGCTTTTCTGGCCCAGTGGTTCTTGAGAAGAAGATTTTAAAGATTTTTCCTATATATTTCAATGTAAAACTTGGATTCCCTATTGTGGCCCCGCCCTACCCCCGGGGGTCATGATTTGAACAATTTAGAATCTACACTACCCCAGGATGCTTCCACATAAGTTTCAGCTTTTCTGGTCCAGTGGTTCTTGAGAAGAAGATTTTTAAAGATTTTTCCTATATATTTCAATGTAAAACTTGGATTCCCTATTGTGGCCCCGCCCTACCCCCGGGGGTCATGATTTGAACAATTTAGAATCTACACTACCCCAGGATGCTTCCACATAAGTTTCAGCTTTTCTGGTCCAGTGGTTCTTGAGAAGAAGATTTTTAAAGATTTTTCCTATATATTTCAATGTAAAACTTGGATTCCCTATTGTGGCCCCGCCCTACCCCCGGGGGTCATGATTTTTACAATTTAGAATCTACACTATCCCAGGATGCTTCCACATAAGTTTCAGCTTTTCTGGCCCAGTGGTTCTTGAGAAGATTTTTAAAGATTTTTCCTATATATATCTATGTAAAACATTGATTCCACATTGTGGCCCCGCCCTACCCCCGGGGGTCATGATTTTTACAATTTAGAATCTACACTACCCCAGGATGCTTCCACATAAGTTTCAGCTTTTCTGGTCCAGTGGTTCTTGAGAAGAAGATTTTTAAAGATTTTTCCTATATATTTCAATGTAAAACTTGGATTCCCTATTGTGGCCCCGCCCTACCCCCGGGGGTCATGATTTTTACAATTTAGAATCTTCACTATCCCAGGATGCTTCCACATAAGTTTCAGCTTTACTGGCCCTGTGGTTCTTGAGAAGAAGATTTTTTAATGACCCCACCCTATTTTTGTCTTCTCTTGATTATCTCCCCTTGTGAGGGGAATTGGCCCTTCATTTTAACAATTTAAATTCCCCTTCACCCAAGCATGCTTTGTACCAAGTTTGGTCAAAATTGGCCCAGTGGTTCTTGAGAAGAAGTCAAAAATGTGAAAAGTTTACAGACGGACAGACAGACGGACGGACGACGGACAAAATGTGATCAGAAAAGCTCACTTGAGCCTTCGGCTCAGGTGAGCTAAAAATGTAGTAGGAATCAGATTTTGAAAACTAGTTTGCACACTAAACCATTTTATGAGGTCTTCTGGTCTGCAGCTAAATCATGACAGAAGATAGATCTAAAGTTTTGATAAGAATTCCAAGAAATATCTATCTCAGGTGAAACAAAAATGAGCAAGATGACAACCCACTGGCAGACATGAATTGTTTTGATCTTTCTTAAATGTATTGTTCATCATCAAATAAAAGTTACAGCTTAATTATACCGATAGTACCTACCTGAGTTGGTGTAATATGGCTGATATCCTCTGATGCTAATTTTTTCAGAAGTGTAGTTTTCCCAGCATTATCTAAACCTAGCAAAAGTATTCGTAGTTCCTTTTCTTGGTTTGACTTAAGCTTCCTGATTAAATCTAATAATCCCTATAAAAAAAATATATATATAGTTCCATGTATTAAGCAATCATCTCACAGGATTTATAGATATCACCCTAAATTTTACAAATCGTGGATGAGTTACTGTAGCATTTTCAAGAAAATCAAATTATGGCAAAATTAACAAAATATTGATTTGTACAGTATACTAACAACAGTGTTTTAAATTAATGTATCACAATCGGTAAACTGTTCTTGTACAATAAAAAAGTAGAGTTTTCATGTTCATTTTATTTTTTTGGGATCAAAAAATGTAAGTGACACTGATCTAACACACTGATAAACAAGAAAAATCTGTAAATTTTTTTGTAAGTTTTGCTTCATTTGAACCTCGAAATATTTTTACATGACTATTCTTGCTACCTTGAAGCAAAATAAATTAGATCAGACCAAACTTTTAACTAGTCCGATTTGGTCAGACATGGTTTCATTTTGAGCTCTGCCATAGTACAGTGTACCATGTCTGTCTCCAGTCATCTACTTTTTTTTTTCACGCTACTAAAGCATCTCTCTTACTCTGTGTTAAATGGAAATACTTATGACTAAGCAGAGCAAAAAAGTTAGGGATTAAATTTCCTTTTGTTGTCAAATAAAGTTGCTCTCCGATTCATGTTGTTTCTCTTTGAAACATCTCTCTACTGTCAAAATTTTAACATGTTAAAAAATTTGAAAACCCCTTACATAAACATTTCAACCTAAAAGAAGTTTTGATACATTTTAAATACAATGTATTTATTGTGGGAAATGTTTTACACTTTCAATCACTATGTTTTGTTCACATTAACCATGAACGGTAAGTCACAAGTCAAACAAGATTTCTGGTGTTTCGAGAAATAAAGGAAAATGGTGGTTTCTGGTAAACTGTTCAAAATATGGGACGAATTTTTTTCCTGTAAATTTTGGTTACCACATTGATGTTGAGTGATCCCATAGCACACTGCTCAAAGCGTTATCGGCTGTTTGGTTGTTATCGGGCATTCGGTGGATAACAACTCTTGACAGGTTATTAAATTGTTGCAAATAAACAGTATAAAAATAGAAACAGAGACTGTTGATTGTGCTTTTTGTGAACAAGAATGAATACAGATACAAAATAAAGCCCCAATATATCCTATTATAGTATTTGTAAGTCTTGAGAAGACTTTAAAAGTCAAATTTGTTATATTTTGCAAGTTTTTGGCCGATTCGCATTGCTGCATATAGTCCCTCTCTTCAGAATCCTTATATTTACCTCACATTAATTATTATCCACAATATGACATCGTCAGAATCTTGCAAAGATGTGATTAAAGGGTAAAAATAGCCCTTTTTTAACTTACAGGATGTTATTGGAAATGCGGTTGAATTGTTCAATTTGTTATCCGAAATTTCGGTTTTAGTTATCGGAAACAAAGATTGTCACAGATTAGGAAAAATCTAAAGAAACAACAGAAATCTTCATTAAATCTAAATATTCAAAGTGGCAAGAACACAATTCTAATTTTTGGATATCATTTGTCTCTTTTAGGAATATGTAACTTTAAAAAAAGAGGTGTTTTTTGATCATGAATGTTTTGGCATATCTCATAATCACCGAAATGTGAATGATCTTGACCTGTTCGAAAATATCTTATTAGTTAATTCTCTGAATTATAAATCTCTGTTGTAACCAAAATACAAATGCCAAATTTATTTATTGAGATTCTTACGTTGCATCATGCGCAATATAAAAGCACTGCAATAATTGCTAAATTCACAGTAATTCACTCTTAGTTTTCTGTGTGTTGCCCTCCAGTTACGCACTTTTCTTCGCTTTTGTCTCTGTTTTCCTTGCTTCGTTTTTATTCCTTGACTTTGCATTTTTGATCTCCCCTTAACAGTCGTTGTTCCTTTTGTTAGAACTAAGTACATACATGTATTAGTTTGGTATAAAGCAATTAAAGAATCTAAACTCAAGGGTGGTTAAATGAATTTTCCAAAAGGGTGTTAGACAAATTATATAACCACGAATTCCAACTTTTGAGAAAATAAATTGACTTTACTAGTTTATAAAAAGCGTTACTGACGGAAAGAAACTATTTTTAATGAAATATAAATATAACTTATTCAAGTTCAAAAGTCTATTGAAACAGTATACATTTGGAGCAGAGTAATCACGGAACTCTAACAACATCAGATGTTGTTTCAGGGGCAAAGAAGGCCCTTCTTAGAAGGGACAAGCATCCATGTCGACCGATCACACCCGCGGAGTGCTCTTTGTCATTATCGGCCGAATGGAAAATCCGTAGACAATTCAATGTGTAGGTGGAGCTCATATTTGGATTTACGATAGGGGTGTCGGGGAGGTTCGGACCTCACCTGAAATTTACATTTATATTGAATATTTATAGTAAAGCAAATAAAAAAAGAAAAAAAACCTTGGCACACCCCCTTCCCCATTGAAAACGCGGATCACTGATTGTAGAAAAGGTTAAACATGTGAAGAATTGAAGTGAATCGACCAGCACCCCCACCCCCACCCCCCACCCCCAGGTATTTTTAACGTTTGGGAAATGAGTTCAACATTTTTTTTTTTAATTTTTTTTTAATTTATTTTATTTATTTTTACTGAACAATGTTTTTGTACAAGGATAGTCTCCTTAATCTAATACATACCCAATTATAACAAGAAAGAAATATTTCTTTGCGGTATATTTGCACCTCATTCGATTTCCTCTATTTCAAACCTTAAAATGATTTGATACAAACAATGCTATTGCTCTGTATTGGACAAAACAAACTTTTAGCTCATTGGGGCACTTGAAGTGATGATGTTTTTGCAAAAATGACATAATAGATCGTAAGACCTGACTAACTAAAGAAACTATAGATTTGTTGTATACATGCACATTTACGTCTGAAACCGATGGAAGCCAATAGTGGCTATCTTTAAGGGAAAACAGAAAAATGATTGAACAGATAAGTAGTTCTATTATAAAATCATAATAATAATTATTTACATGTATATCAAAAAACTAACAATGGACAGCTAGAAAATTTTCAAAATTCACTTAAAAAACATTACGTTTGTAATTTTTAAGGATTGACAGATTATAATGGACTTTTTTCCAATCTATTTCTAAAGGTGAAGGAAACTTTTTAACCTGAGTTTCCGATAACTTACACCCGTAAAAACCGAATTATCCAGCAACATCAACCTTGTTGACGATAACATGTTTTCACCTACCGAGACATTTTAGATGCCTGTTAACTAACCTTAATTTCGATTTTTGATTTCAGTCTGCTTATCTACAGGTATATGATTGTCTATAGAATATATAAACTATTTTGTTTAATACAAAAAAATGAAATTGACTTCTAAAAAAGCTAAAATGTGATGACATATTTCGAAATTTTTATAAATTTAAATATCATTTGAAAGAGTTGTAGATCTTTTGAAAGAGAGTGATTTGGTTTGTATTTTTTGCTGCTGAAAGTATAATCATATATCTGCTAAAGATCACAAACTTTGTTTGCTGGAGTACGCAATTATCATTGAATTAAGAAATTTAAAATCACCTACGTTTTGTAAACATTGCTTTTCTTGCACGGAATGCCCGATAACAACCGAATTGCCGATAATGTGTTGAGCAGTGTGTCATAGGTGGGGTAAAAAATACAAGACATTTCATGTATAGTCAGTACATATCACATGTATGATAAGGTTTACAGTCAATACATATAGAAAAACTCATAAAAAAGAGGTTAAGAATGTAACAGGCATATATTGGGTAATTCAGTCTGGTAGATGAACGGTAGAGCAACCATACAGTTTGCAGGAGGACCCAGGTTCGAGTCCCAGTCTGACCGACACTTTTCCCTGCCTGTTATAGGTGTGAACCCTGTTATATTTCCAATCTCATTTTTCCATAATATTAGCTACATTGACATACCAGACATTTATATATGCAACTTTTCCCTGCTGCTATTGTTTCTCGGCTAAGTATATATGTACAAATATACAGTTGTTTCCAAACGCTCAAAATGGTCAGATAAAATAAAATAATGACGATAAAATGCGTAGTTCAGAAGCATAGGTCTGAAGTAATTTTGAAATGACACATTTATGGAAGCCATGTTATAAAACCAATAACAGAATGTGAAAAGAATATTCAATCGAGTCCCTCCTTGTGGAAATAAATATATCATAATTATACGCAAGAAGGATGCTGAGATCAATCGGTCCTTTTCACTAGTACAGTGTTTAAAATCAAACAATTTACCATTTTCCACGCTATTCGGCTTCCCTATGTTACTACGAATGACGTCACAGCCTCGTTTCAATTGAGAATTCCTGAGACTCTTTTTATTTCCACCACAGAAGAGTTCCCAAACATTTCCATGTGATTTATCCTGTTTACCCCCCATGCTAAATCACTAATGGTAAGTGTCAAGCATATACAGTGTTAGCTTCAGTATCACCGAAATGCAAACATTATAGAATTTAAGACAAGTGACATGAACTTTGATAACTTGACCTTAATACATGATATAATAATGAGCATTGATGAGAAGCTGATTAGAGCAGATCATTTCTTTTAGATTGTTTGATGATTGTTTAAGGTGCCAAGGGGTAAGATAAGTGTAACAGGGTTATTTAAAAATATTTTTAATTCCACATTAATGATATATTTGACAAGTAAGGAGGTAACACTGGCTGCTCCAACATATTACTCTGACCTTTGAATATGTGGTCAAAATGCTATATGTTGTACATGTGGTTGCAAACTGAGTTTTATAGATGGCGCTTATGTGTGGCAGATAGGTTGTTTGCCAGTGACCAGGGGGAAGATGTTTTAAAAATATTTTTTGTTTTCTGTTGATTTCTATAGTGAAATATTAAAACACAATTTTTACCAAAATTAAAGAGTAATCTCTCTTAGTTTTCCCAAATAAGTTATGTTTATGAAAATTCACATAAATATCTATAAAAATATAAAAAAAATTATTCAAATATATGTTAACTTTTGAAAATTGACTTGGAGGTAGGCTGAGAGCTGAACAATACTGTTGTTCACAGTTCTTATTTGAAGATTGCTTTTTGATTCATTTACCGGTAGTTTCGTATAAAATGTTGGATGTAAGTTTTATTTAATTTCATAAATACTAAAAGTTATTAATTCTACGATCATTTAAGTAGGTCGAAACTGCCGAGGTACAAGGACTGCACTAGGATAATATATGCTGTATTATAGTGCTTTTGATACCTCTGTGGTGACAGATTGATAAACATTGACTCGTTCATTCTCCTATTTGTTCTCCTACATACTGTTTTAAAACCTGAATAAGGCAAACAGTTGGGGGGTGGGTGGGTGGGGGGGGGGGGTAGACAGTTAAGTGTTTAGTGATAACCAAATGCATAAGACCTGAATAAGGCAGTTGGTTGGTTATTGAGAGAGGTTGACATACCACAAAGGTGGGGGAATTACCAGAAGTTGCCAGTACCTATGGAGTGGCAGGACCAGAGAAATTTGTTTCTGGGAGATACCCATTGACCACAGTTAGTGGTTGTCCAATTGAGAAGAATCCCTTTAAATTCGTATATAATTGTATATTTTGTACTTGATCAACAAAAACCAAAGTTAACAGGTTAAAGATCCCTGAGTGTAACGCCTCGGTGATACAATAACAAGACATATCACCACACATCAGCTCGGCACATTGCACGTTACGTTTTATAACTCCCAAGTAGTGTAACCAGGTAACCTAATATATAGACTTTATATGTACTGTAATCAGGTAACCTAATACATGTGTATAATATAAACTTTATATGTTAGGTTACCTGGTAACAGTACTATGGAGCTCATTAATTAAGGCTAAAAAATAAAGAAGGTCTACTGTACAGATAGTAAACTGGAGTCATATAGCATTGCATGCAACAATAATCACTGTAGGAAAGCCGATGACCGTAATATAGTTTACGGTCATCAAAACATGTCGGCCGAGCTGACCGGTAAGAATTTTTCATTCAAGATATCAAACATTTGATAGCATATCTGTGTAAATACCGCTGAAAATTGAATGTACGCTAATGAAAACTTGCTATTGGTTATTATAGCTTACTTGAACTTAAGGAAATAAAGCTGAAGTACGACCTCAAAGTTTTTGAGAATGATGACCGTAACAAAATATTAAGATGACCGTAATCGAAGTTTATTCCGTGAAGAGGGATGACCGTAAATTTATGATGACCGTAATATCAAACAGAAAGCGTCAAAATAAAGATTTAAAGTGTACACGTGTCAAACGTTTTTTACGATCGGCAACGATTCTGTGTGCGATCATACAACTAAGAAAATATGATATACATGCGATCGTGCAATTTGAAATTCATTAAATACCCTTAACAGTTTAATGAAATATAGTAAGAGTTTACCGATTTACATGGGCTGAAAGTCTGTCGAAACAGAACAGGACACCAAACATTTTTTTAAGAAGGGGGGGGGGGGTGACAGATTTTCTAATCTTCTGCTTGGATAATTATGTCTACATTTTAAGCAAAATCAAAAATCCAGAACTCTTGCTAATAATTGTCTATTGGCACTCGATTAAAATGAATCAGATACTAACAAATAGTATTGGAAGGACCGAATTTTAGGATTATAGAAAAACAGGTTTTATTGTCTAGGGAATGGCTGTTCAATCACAAGAGTTGGCATACCTATAAATTTTACCGAAATTTTCAGTAAATAAAAAAAAATTAATACACTATACTATAAAAATAACAATTACAGGAGTTGGGATATCTATCAATTAAACTAGAATTACAAGTGTTATCATTTTACTGAAAATTGTTATTATTGTAGTATTTATATTTTTTATTTACGGGATATGGAAAATTTAGGGGAAATGATAGGTACAGTGTATGTGTCCTTTTTGACATATTTTATTGCTTTCTTACAAAAGTCGTCATGTTACAAATTTTATTTAAGAAATAAAATATGTCAGAAAGGCCATATTCCAACTCCTTCAAATAATGATAGCTAACTCTATTAAACTCAATTCAATTCAAATCTTTATTGCCTCTGAGTTGTACAACTCATCGGGATATCACAAAATGTGACGGGCGGGGGGGGGGGGGGTTAGTGAGGCTGCTTCCTTCCACTTTTTTAAACATAACTTTTTACTGTAACAGTTGAAATGTTTATTGAAAGGTTGGTTGCCCTCCCCCCTTTTTTGGCAGTATAGTTAAATAGTGATACTCTGGTACTTTGTGAATAAAATTTGATTGTGAAAGAAGAAACCAAACTCCCCCCCCCCCCTCCAACACACACACATTCAATAAAGGATTTTTCGAATTTGGACAATTTTCCTTTCTTATTTTGCTTGTCAAACTTTCTAAGGTAATTTTACATTTTAACCCCCCCCTTTTTTTTAAACGATACTGTGTGCCTGCAAATAAATTCTGTTCTATTGAAATATATTATACGAGATATTATAACTGCTATAACTTTGAGGTAAAACTTTGCGAGCCCTCCAGTTCGTTTTCCGTAGTATCTCCTTGATTAACATAGTTAAGTTTAATTTCTGATATTTATGTAGGTCAATTTTAATGGTTAAAAACGATATATCACAATGACCGACTGCCTTGTTTGAATTTAATAATATATTATACATCGAAATAATACTTCCTAAACAGAATTTACTCTGATTTGTGCTTTTTTTCACGCTATTTCCCAGTTATACGATCGCTTAATAAACGATACATGTCGTTGACGATCGCCTCGCAGTTGTCAAAGTTTCCAATTAAAAGTTGTTTTGATGCTAATGTATACAGTTTTAATTTTAAAATGTTTAGTTCATACCTCTAAGAATGACCTTCAATGTTGATAGATGATAATAATCTAAACTATCTCAAAGCATGAAAATTCGATGTTTGGAGCATTGTCGATTTGATCCGTAACATTTGCACAGAAATTATTTTACAAATTTAATCTGGGTGATATTTGCCCGAATTAAATCTTTTCTAGCATTATTTACAGTTGGTTATACTCCAGCACATACAAAACTGCTTTAACTTATTCTTTACGATATTTTCTTCAAGTGTTGCCGATCACATCAGAGTTGTTTACAGGGGTGTTGTGACACGACAGCGGTGTTTTTCTTTGAAGTTTACTCTTTTGTATTAGCAATACAGAACGGGTGTATGGTGGGTGGAGCTACTTTCCGTTCTGTATTAGCACTGTATACCGTATTCTATTAGCCAACTATTCTGTATCTAAAATACAGCACGGTCTAAAAATAAATCTGATTCAATTTATTAAAAAGCACGTACAAGTTTGTAAACGCTGAAGTTTTTCTATCATAAATTTTGGAGAAATATTTCCCTGGGAATGAAAAATGTCAAAAATTCTCAATCACTTTTAAAAACGTATTCCACACAGAATCTACACGTAATTTCGATCCAAAGGAAAATTCACAATAATGGAAAATACCACTCTCCTCGAGCAAACTCGTTCAATTAAAAATTTCATCTTAAATCCTTATCGCTGACGACAACCGCACGTCTCTTTCACTACGTTTTTAATGTCGCAATTCAATTAGAAAATAAAAATCTGTGGCATCAAAGTTCATCGAAGAGTTTTCTGTATATCCTGTTTTTGTAAATCTAGTTAAACCGGGATTTTAAGATCCCTGAAATATATTATGATCAATCTCCATGTACAACAAACCACAACAACTACTGTTAAATCCTCCACCTTATCCATTAAGACTGACTATCACTCGATTCAACTACCCCATTTAATTGTCAAAACTGATCTGACCGAATCTTACGTTTTCCGTGGAAATATATATACTGCGGATGTATACTCCCCATCGAGGCCTCATCTACAGAACTCTGACGGAAGTTTGGATGCTGCACAGTTATAAAGTGGGCGGAGCTATTTTTCTTTGACTGATCGTGTCACAAATCATTTAGAGAACTCGACAGGTTCTGTATCGTAGATACAAATTTGGGGGTGGAGACTCGTGCTACGCACTCGTCCACCCCAAAATTTGTATCTACGATACAGAACCCATCTCGTTCTCTAAATAATACTTATAGAACATGTAGAATTAATGTTAAATAAGATATAAAACATCTAACATGAATTTTGTACAAAGATTACGGTCATCTATATAACTGTTTTACGGTCATCATCTTCTCGCTGGAATGTGTTTGTTACGGTCATCATACTGCAAAATTTCGAAGGCCTTTTATCATTTCATTTTCTTTTGTTTGGGTAAACAACATCTACTGGTGTGGAGATAACATCGATGTTCGTTTAACCAATACCTTAAATTATTCAGTTTTATTGAATAATGTTTATA